GGGGCAGCCCCTCCCTCCCCAGCCGCATCAGCAGCTGCACGAGCATATCTGTGGGCCTGAAAACTAAATAACCGAGGGGTCTGCGGGATGTCTGTTCTCTGGGAGCTGTCCAGAGCGTCTCTGCTCATCTCTCTTCTCGTGTCCGTCTCCTTTTAGTTCCTTTTTGCCACATTTTTTTTCCTGCCTGTCATCACTTGTGGTTATTTTCCTCCCGCTTACAGCTGAATGTGAGCTCACCTTCCGGTTTCACTGCTGACCACAAACTCTAGAGCCCTTCTCTATTTCATAATTTGTATTATTCGCACATCTGTACCTTGAATGCTCTGGTCAGATCAGCTCTTAACTTTGGCTTTTTTAATGGAAAATATTGCAGAATCAGTTCCTGGAAATGAGGACAGACTCCTCTTCGCAGAAACTGAAAGGATTAGGGCTGCTTTGTTCCCCGAGCTGACAGACAAGAAGGGAGATGACGGTAGGCAGAAAGTAACCCCTCTTTTCCTTTTTATATTCTCAGTGTAAGAATGGATGGCTGGATGGTGACAGCATTGAAATACAATGTTTAAACCACTGTTTTTTTTCCAATTTATTCAGGCTTTGGGTTTTTTTTGATAGGTAGATGCTTGGGTGGCAGGTGCGGGGAGAGGTTAATGTTGTTAATAAGTGAGAACTTAATGGAGCTTGTGTGGGAAGCTCCCTGGGACCCGTAACTGCTGTATTTATCTCTGCAAGCACATGTGGTGGGTGTGGGTGTTCTCATAATGAAGTTTTTCCGTGATTAATCGGGTAATGAGAGACTCGACAGCCATGTTGGGGAGAGGTCGCGAGGGGAAACGGCGCTGGTGTTCCTCCAACAGGGTGAAATCGTTGGGTGCCCAGTCCTGGGTTGGTGACGTCGGACCTTGGCGCCTCTAACACATGAGGTTTGGGTTTTAAAATGGAGCTGTTTGTCCCGTTTCTCCCAGGATGGCTGTGTAGAGACTGACTTGAGCACCGGGAAGGGGGAAAACTCTGGAGGAGAGCCGCAACCGTCTCGCTCACAAACTTGGTCCTCCGGATATCTCCGCTCCTCGCAGCACAGGGGTGAGTTCAGGCACCAATCCTGGCTTATCTTAGTTTTTCAGGTCCTCAGACAGCGCCGCTACCTTAAATAGCCGACAGCAATGGCTTTGCGCTAACTGGAGCTAATTTATTTAGCGGTCGGGTGGACCAGCAATACCTGATTTGGTATTTGCCCTCCCTGGATCCATCCCTGTTTCGGCGCATCCCATTCAGTCAGGGAAGGAGACGGATGTCAGCACCAGAGCTGCAAACTGGCCCTGCCTGAGTGGTGGCAAGGAACCAGGGTGGCATTTCGGGTGCACCGTGGGTTTTTTGATCCAGGTATTTGGGATTTTTAAGGCTTGGGAGTCAATGATTTTAGTGTACAAAGGTGATCTCATCTGCTGGGGAATGTTGCATGCTGGGTTCGGGTGTGAGGGCGATACACAGCTTGTCCGGACCTCTGCCCTGCTGCACTTGCTCCGACGAAGCTGTAACGTGACGTTACAGAGGGAACTGCAGAAAAGATGAAGTTTTTCGCGAGGAGTTGAATTTCTTGGGATTTTGCTTCCTTCGCAAAGCTTGGGTGCAAAGCTGAGGCGAGTCCAGACAGGGGGCAATAAAAATCGTCATTCAGGTGCAAAGTGCCTCCTACAAATTACTGAAAATAACCTTTTAGTGCATCAAACCATCATGATTTTTCAGGTCCTGCTGCACAAAGCTTTCCGAGCACGGAGGGCAACATTGTTTGTCCTGCTGAGAAAATCCTCCCCTTTTTTCCCAGAGCTTTGCAAACCTTACAGGGTCATATGTATGTGGGGGTTTAGACAGATTTTGATACAAATACTGATTTTTCTGGCTCTCAAGGGATGTATTTTGGGACAGGCTGTAGGTGTTTGGTTAAAAAGTACTCCATGTTTTAGAGAGCTGGATTAGGTCATGGCGGTCAGTTAATTGCGAAGACAAACACTGTCTTTTGGGAGTGAAGCTTTCTCTGTGTGTGATCTGATGCTGTCGGAGGTGTCTGGGCTTCTTATCCCTGCTGGGAATGATTTCGGAAGCTGAATCGATCCTTGGGTGGAAGATCTTTCACCAAGCGCGTTGCTAGCACCCGCAGCAGACAGGAGGAGGCTCCCTCTGCCCGCGGTGCTCGCCTGCTGCGCGCTTGTGCAGGCTGGAATGGATTTGGAGGAAGGGACGTGCTTGCGGCTGCCTGGAAGCGACCTGGTTGTGTGGATCCAAACCTGTCGCCTTTCCCCGACCTGAGACTCCCCGAGCTGTTTTTAAGAGCTGGTGAAGTGGAAAAGTGACTGCTATGGGCTGGAAACCTTCAGAGAGACACCGTGTGTTGACTTGGCATCGAAACCGAGAGAGTATCCATGGCCATAACCTTGCTTCTTCCAGCTTTAGGGACTTCCCAGCCTGGCAGGTTGAACAATTAACTGTGGATAGTCCCTGTTTGCTTTCTGCTCTTTCCTTGCTCATTGCTTGCCCAGCAAATGACAAAACAATCCCTTCAGCCCACACAGGAATCATTTTTGGAAAATGAAACCAAGTAGAAACCCTTCATTCTCTACCCTGCGCCCTGCAGGTGCAGCCCAGGAGAAGACCCAGCGCCTGGCAGCAGATCGAGCTCGTGGTGCCCCTCAACCTTTGCTGACAAGGACCTGCTTTAAAAATGAGCTTTTACAGTGTTTCCAGGAGTTTGCAGCATTCCTGAGCCAAAGTCATGCTTCGAGTAGGGAGAACTCTCTCCAAACACACAATAAAAAAATAAAAATCCCTTAGTATCATCAGGCAACGGCCTAAAATGAGCAGGAGTGTGAAGATTTTGATGAACACTTTCTGCGCTGCACCTTGGGTGGGAGTGGTGGCACAACCTGCTTGCCGAAGGGACGATGGCGCTCGTGTTTGCGGAGACAGCGGGGTTCCTGCTCACAGCTTGGACTGGTTGAAGAGCAATAAATGGATTTTAAATGCTGTTAGGATGGCAAAAAAATACATTGGCTGTTCAATCGGCTCTCTCTCCAGCCCCGTGTTGGCATTGCGGCTGTTAGAGGAGAGGTTTTGGGGTTGTATTTGGTGGGGGAGGCAGGTGACTGGACCAAGGAGCTGAAATTAGGCTTTTGGGGCCATGTTTTTTAATTAACGGGGCAGTCGGGTCCTGGTTGATCCATGGCTTTGTGATCTGTCCTGCTTTGTGGCCCTTTCTGACACAGTGTCAGGGTTTTGGCGCCTGCCTCACCCCCCTCCTGGGGTTTGTTTTTCTCCCCACAGCCATGGATTTCCCCCAGCACAGCAAACAAGTCCTGGAACAGCTGAACCAGCAGCGGCAACTGGGTTTGCTGTGTGACTGCACATTCGTGGTGGATGGCATCAACTTCAAGGCCCACAAAGCTGTGCTGGCGGCCTGCAGCGAGTATTTCAGGATGCTCTTCGTTGACCAGAAGGACGTGGTGCACCTCGACATCAGCAATGCGGCAGGTAAGCAAAGGGTTATCTGAACGCCTCTGAGCTGTGTAAATAAAGCAGTTTGGTGTCCAGGATTTGAGGGAGGCTTTTCAGCCTGTTATTTCGTGCTCTTTGGGCTTTTCAGAATTATATGGCTGAGAGATGAGAGCTTATTTCTGGTTGCATTAATTCCCTTGCAGGCCTGGGCCAGGTTTTGGAGTTCATGTACACGGCTAAGCTAAGCCTAAACCCCGACAACGTGGACGACGTGCTGGCCGTGGCGGGTTTCCTCCAGATGCAGGAGATCGTCAGTGCTTGCAACGCTCTCAAGTCTCTCGCCGTGCCAGCAGAAAGCCCTGCCGAGAGCCAGCAGCCCCCCGCCGAGATCGGTACGTAGCCTCCTCACTTCCCCTCATCCGAGCAGACTCAAAGTTGCCCCACAAAGCAGCCATGCTCTCTGACTGCCATCCAAACCCACGTCCCGGGTACATCTGGCACGCAAGGGTGTCGGGATGGGGTTTGATCCCTTTGTGTGGCACCAGCAGTCGAAGGACTGATGCTTCCTTGAATCTTTATGGGATTTAGGAATCCTTCTAGCAGCCGTTGGGGTGTCCCTGTGCGGGCAGCAAAAGCTGAATCGCTTTGCCTCTTCCCTTGCAGGGGCCAACAAGGCGACCGTCGAGGACAAGACATCGGTGGCAGAAGCACTGGGTGATCTTGACAAAATAAAACCAGTTCCTCCCGACCCGGAGGGGAAGGAAGAGACGCCCGCAGCCACAGCAGCACGACCTGAGGTGCAGGCGGAGCGGCTGGGTGGCCAAGAAGGTGAGCCACCAAGGGATGACACCCAAAATCCTGCTGTCGCTCCCCCAACACACCCTGCCCTGCTGCCAGACTCTGCTGCATGGAGCCTGCGTGTCTGCTCGAGCATGCCTAAGACACTCTGTTTGTAGGGGCAGATGCTGCCATCCAGGAGGGCCTCAACACCGAATTTCCTGGCCACCTGCAGCCGGCGGAGAGCGTGGTCGGCAGCGGCAGCCCCGCAGCGAAGGGCAGTGTTTCTCAGGGCGCCGAAACAGGAGGTGTGTTCGTGAGCAGGGCTGGTGGCGAGGACTTTGCTGTCTGCCCATTCCCTTCAGCAGGGCTGAAACAAAGCTGGGCAGGGGTTGAACCCTTGTTTTGTGTGCAATTAATTTTGTCAGTGTGAGTTTTGCTCTGCAAACGCTGTCTCCTGCGAGTTACAGAGCCCACGGGAGCAGTTTTCATGGGGCAGAGCTAGGAGACATTGGGAAACACTCTTCTCTCTGTGCAGACTTTAGGATTTTAGGGCTAAATAACCTGCAAATCCAAACTGACTCCAGGCAGAGGTCTCAGCGCCTCTGTTGTGTGATGGAGTGCCAGGATTTCTCTGAGAACAGTAGGGCAGGTCTGACCCCCATCGCCTTAAACCCAGGCTTAGAGTTAGGAAGTACAGGTGGGTTTTGTGTCTCTGATGCTGCTCCCAGTCTTTAGTGTCCCCATTTTCTAACTGCCTACAGAGATGGAGCTGGAAGGGAAGGAGGAAGAGGGGGAGATGATGGCAGAGGAGGAAGAGGAGGCTAAAATCTCCAAGGAAGAGCAACCCCGGTTAGAAAACGGAGAAAACGCTGAAGATAACGAATCAGGGAGCACCGACTCCGGGCAGGAAAACTCAGGCGAAACCCGTCTGCTCCGCTCGGGTACTTACAGCGACAGAACCGAGTCGAAAGCCTACGGCTCTGTCACGCACAAGTGCGAGGTGAGCTGGGCTGCAGCCCCGAGCG